TCCGACAGTGAACTGTCAATCTCTAACAATAAACAGGGTCTGTTTCCAAACAGTGAACTGTCAATCTCTAACAATAAACAGGGTCTATTTCCGTCAGTGAACTGCCAATCTCTAACAATAAACAGAGTCTGTTTCCAACAGTGAACTGTCAATAGCTAATAATAAACAGGGTCTGTTTCCGACAGTGAACTGCCAACCTCTAACAATAAACAGAGTCTGTTTCCGACAGTGAACTGTCAATAGCTAACAATAAGCAGAGTCTGTGTCTGAGAATAAACCAGAATCTATTTGCACGAGCGATACGGTCCTGGTGCCCTCCTGCTGACATTAACAGCCTCCTTCCCTCTTTCCCGCATAGGCTTTGAAGTGAGGCTGGCGATGAGGAGGTGGCCATGAGGGATCAGGGAGCCATCATGTCTGATATCTGTACCAAGTATGTTGGCGGGCGCGAGCAGGAGGGTTCCCCGAACCCGGGCGACTCGGGGCTGGCAGAGTCTCCCTCAACCAGCAGCAAGGCAGTGCAGCTAAAGAAAGAGATCTCCCTGGTGAATGGCATCTGCCTGATTGTGGGCAACATGATAGGCTCGGGCATCTTCGTCTCACCCAAGGGTGTGCTGATGTACAGCGCCTCCTACGGGCTCTCGCTGGTGGTGTGGGTGGTGGGCGGCATCTTCTCCATTTTCGGCGCCCTGTGCTACGCCGAGCTGGGCACCACCATCACCAAATCCGGTGCCAGCTACGCCTACATCCTGGAGGCCTTCGGCGGCTTTGTGGCGTTCATCAGGCTCTGGACGTCGCTGCTGATCATTGAGCCCACCAGCCAGGCCATCATCGCCATCACGTTCGCCAACTACATGGTGCAACCCATCTTCCCCACCTGCCAGCAACCCTACGTCGCTGCCCGCCTCATAGCTGCCACTTGTATCTGTGAGTACCAAAGGGACAGGGCACCAACGCCCTGGGGGCCTGCAGGGAGCACGGTGCCAACAGGGTTCGGTCAGGGGCAAGGACGGTACAGGAGGGTTGGGTAAGGGGCAGGGATGGTACAGGAGGGTTGGGTAAGGGGTAGGGACTGTACAGGAGGGTTGGGTAA